GACAGGAGAGGATCAACAGCAAACTGGTAAGATGCATCAGCCCAAATCTTCTCTAGTGTACTCACTGCCTATGCAAATCCATACAGACACATCATTGTGAACATTTCTGACTTTAGTGTGAGTTGGAGTTGTTGAGGCAGCAGGACCAGCAGCGTATGCAGGAGCTGCAGCGCACTCTGGCAGAGCTGGAAAGAGACGAGAGAGAGATGGCTGCTCAGCGCCTGTCTGGACAAACAGCGGGACAACAACGCGAAGCTGAACCTTTCCAGCACCCCCACACCAACCTCCATACTGATGGTGGCCAGGCAGGAGTGTTAAAGCAGCACCAGCAGGTATTCAAGTGCTTTAATCCCTATGAGGAATCCAAACTATTGTGACAAAGTTTTTCATTAGGATTACATTTTAGCACATGTAATCATTGCTAAATGAACTTTTTCTCACCTTAGACGCCGTCCAAGTCGTCTTCCAACCTGTTGGAGACGTTACTGAAGGAGAACTCTGAGTTGACAGAGCGTGTGACATCACTGAGCCAGGAGAGGGCCACTCTCAAACACAAACTCACCTGCCTGGAGCGACAACTGCGCCGCACAGAGAATGAGCTCGCCAAGGTCACCGCGGAAACCGAAAATAGGCCTGTCTACGACATATCCAGCCAGAGCAAGGTCAGTAGGCAGCACATCAGGATAAATTAGGGGTGTAATAACCATTTTTGCAACAGCTTTTCAAGAACAGATATTGACTCCAAAGGACCTAATTGCCATTTCTGGCTTCGCTGTACGCTGTTGGTTGTATAGGGATGAAATGTTGACAGCGTTTGCTTGATTTGCAGCTTCAGCGTTACTATGAGCGCTACCTGCGAGCTGAGAGCTTCAGGAAAGCTCTGGTGTACCAGAAGCGTTACTTGCTGCTGCTGATAGGAGGATTCCAGGAGTGTGAACAAGCCACGCTGTGTCTTATCGCTCACATGGGAGCTCGACCCTCACCCCCAGTCTCCTCCAAGCGTAGACCCCTCGGACGATTTAGGGCTGCAGTGCAAGTCATAATTGCGGTCTCAAGGTAAGAAATGTATCATCATATACATATTAGTTGTATTCCCTAGAAGGCAGAGATTATTAGTTAATTCCATGCACTTTTTCAGAATGAGGTTCCTGACGAGGAAATGGCAGAAAGCAATCCGAAGATTATCAACTGGGGTTGTCAATGGGCATGCTCCAGGTCAGCTCTGTCTACATAGTTTAGACTTGCGTGTATTATCCAAGTGAGTATGAGTGCATAGGTAATTTAATTTTATTGTTCCTGGCAGGGCCTAAAGCTGAAGTTTTAAGGCAGCAGCAGCCAAGATCAAATTCTGACCCGACGCAGATCCGAGACAGCAGCGCCATCTACATAGACACTCTGTCAGCGCTCGTCCCACCCAGCAAATCGCCCTTCAGGCTGCGCCACAGGTTTGGCCTCGCTTAGCAGATTTTATTAGAAACTGATATGATTCAATTAGTTTTTAGGTTTTTTTTTCGTCTTCTTAAATACGCTTTCTACACTCTTCAGGTCACACTCCAGTACCCCTTTGGCCTCTGTACAATCAGGTGGAACAGCTCAGGATCCAGAACAATCCCTGACAGAATATATCCGTCATCTAGAGAAAGTCCAGCAGCGGTTGGTGGGAGCCAAGCAAGGTGAGTAGCATTTAGAATACGAAAGAGGGGAGAGGGGGGGGGGGGTTATAAGGTATTCACTGCGAACACAGGGTGTATCCCTAATGGTAAGTTCATTGGTTTACAGGTGGGAACACTGTTGCTGTATGTCTGCTTGGCCATAGCAAACCATGACAGATTGAGCAGTGCACAGGCTTGAGAGAAAACACTGTGGTGATGGTCTTCAAACAGCTCAACACTGACAGCATTGGGTTTGCCTTATTGAGCACAATTTAAGGGGTTCTGAACACTTAATTTATTTGAATATCAAACTGGAAGATGTTTCAGGGCACTGAGATATAGCACTTGTACCAGCATCAGACTACACAATAGTAGCCTAGGAATGGCCCAAGTGTACTTTCAGTACACTCTAAAGAACACAAGATAATACTTGTAAACATGGAAAAGGGAGGAAAGAGTCACACAATCATCTCTCTTGGAAGTGCCCTAAACCAAATTAACCAACCAGCCACGAGACGGCTTTACTGACAAGTGACTAAATTGTATCGGGCTCTTTAAAATGACTTTCAGCTGCTCCCTGGTCACCACAGCAGGTTGCTCCACATGTTTGATTTGGCAAGGTTTTATGCCAGATGCCCTTCCCCGACATAACCCTGAAGGAGTTATGCCGGGGAGCTTTTGCCTGGGAAGCAAAAGCTTGCTGGTTCCCTACATAAAGGAGACCATGTTGGGCTTTTTGCATATATAAATGCACTTTGTGCTGTTGAAGAAACTCCCAGGTACCTGAAAATTCTGTTAAAATGTATTGCAGGCATGAGCATTCTAGTCTGCTTTGTCTGCCATTGAAAGAATTTGTCAATCTGACTGTGTGACTTAGCAACCCTCTAAAAAGATAAATGTTGTGTGAGCTGATCCTGGTGCTTCATGCATGTCTCCTAAATAAATCACCCTGTTTCTGGGAGATGTTTCCTATGCATTTTTATAGCCATTAGTCTGGTGCAAGTCAGTTAACCATTCAGATATAGATAGATATAGATATAGATAGATATATAGATATATATAGAGAGAGAGAGAGATAGATATATAGAGATATAGATAGATATAGAGATAGATATATAGAGATAGATATTTTTTTTTTTCCCCCCCCCCCCGGGGACCATACTGGTTTAAAAAAATGAAATAAAATTGTTTCCACATCCCACAAAACCTGTGCTCTATCATCTTCCAACCTAGTAAACAAGACTCATTTATCCCCACCCCCCAAAGAGGAAAGGAAACTACAGTCACCCTGTTCCCCTGATATGATTGGTTATCGGCAGCACTGGCTGCAAGAGAACGGGACTTGGCTGTACCTGAGCTGCTTGTCGCCCCTTTACCTATATGGGCCAGGTGAGTGTGAGTGTAACACACTCACTCCACTGAAGGACAAAGTAGCACAGTGCTCAGGGACTGACTTGTCACTAGTCACCGAGCACAGTCTATTACAGGGGATAACTTTGGTCTGGAAATGTACATGTCCTGCAGGGTTGTTCTATAAAATTGAATTCAAACGTATTAAATAATAATTTTTGAGAGACATGTCATGTGGTGTGCTGTGAGATCTGGCTGTCAATGCAGTGAGAAGCTAAGCTGTCAGAAATGTGATACTGAGGCATGATGATGCCATAATAAGTGATGATTCAAGATTTAAACCGTGGCTGAGCACATGGCAGAGCTTCCTGTCAACACGGTGAACGAGTTGAATGCATCTGGAAAAGTAGAACAAAGGAGGTACATAGTTACATCGAGTACAATGTCTGAAGCCCAGGTGGCTCTGTATGTGTGAAGAAAAGAGGTTAAGCTGGTGCAGTAGATGCATAACGTGGATGCAAAACCCTGCAGAGCATGAAGTCACTGAGTGGAATAGTTTATTCCATTTCAGCTACATTTGTTTTTATGTCTTGTTTTATTTAACTTTGTTTGTGTAAATGTTGAACTGTTTTGAGGTGCACTCTGAAATTTTGAGGGAATAGTGGCACATGCTCATCTACTTATCTCATAACTTTCGCCATCAATGCTCCTGTGCCTTACTGCTTTTAGTCTTAGAGCTAGAGATGCAGTTCTCTAACAAGAATTATGTCAGTGCTATTTTTCAGTACATTGTCATAATTTTTAAAAGTCAAGTATTTTGTTTAACTAGTTGGAAAACTACTAAATAACTACTACGTTTACTGAAAGGAACTTCTAGTCAAGACCATTTTAAACTTTAGCTTGGTTCCTGTTTATGTAAGGTGCCAGTTTTGTTGCTGCATCTAATTTTTCTTCTTCTCCCCTTTCTGTAGGTTCATCTGGTCTCCTGCCTGATCCAAAGTAGCCTGAAATCTAAAGACTGAATCTGCCTGCATATTGTTTCAAAACTGCTCATGCCTTACATCTTGTAGAAATGTATAGAAATTATAAGTTTCCTGACTTTTATACTAAATTATTTTTTAATTATTTTTGGAGGGTAATTTTTCTATCCTGTGTACTGCCAATATTTTGAAAGTCACTCTTTATACACTGTTTCTCAAACACTGTTTGCTTTTTTTGTGCTCTGTAAATGGTGTTAATGTTCTCCACACGTGTTACTAAATGCACTAGTTTTATACTCTAAGTCTAAGATCTGTGCTAAACTTGTGCACCATTATAAAATGTAAACCACGTCCATGTTGTTTTTATCATAAAGTAAATAAAGTGTGACTATGAACCAGATGGAGTGTTTCTTGCAAAATCTCAAAACACGGGTATCCTGATAAATATTGAACAATGGCGGGGTGTTTTAGTTCTGTTTGTAGTCCACTGTTAGGCTTAATAAAGAGTTGATTTAAAACAGGAAGTTTTTAGTGCACAGAGTAAAGCAGTGAGCATTTTGGTATACTAAAGCTGTACAAAGGTAAATCCAGTCAGTAAGGAACTTCTAATTGGGTAGTTTTATTTTTGGTCTCTTTACATTTTCTACAAAAATAGGGATTTTTAAATACACATTATTACATTAGTAACAGAAACATCAGCCACTAAATCAACTATTAATGACAGCCACATTTGAGAGAGGTTAGAATACTGAGGTATTTGGGATTTTTTTTTTTTTTTTTTTTTTTTTTTTTTTTTTCGTATGCTGATTTAGTATTATGTAACAAAGAATGGACCTATGCTAGAGGTTTGCTGTCAGCTTTGTAAGAAGTAAATAACGCTGAAATTGTGATTTAGATTAAATGAAACCAATCTTTAAATAAATCTAAAGAAATCCATGCTCTAACTTCTCCCACTTGCTCTCCTAATGAGAAAGCTGCCAAAGATACCACTCAGTGATCAGGGGTTCGTTTGTTTATTATCTCCGCCACGATGCTTTATGTTTAGTATTTTATCTTTCGTCTTTAGACTTTACACTTTAGAACACCGCCCACTCGTTTTGTTTTGGTGTGTAAAACGTTTGCCCTTCGCAGAACGTCAACACGGAATGACGGACGTTGTTGGCGTTTCAGCACAGCGACGCTAATGCTAAGCTAAGCTAATGGTGGGCGGTGTGTCGTAGATTGCGGTTTGACATCTTGCCTGTGGAGAAATAGTCCTGGACCGCATTGAAAACGTCGTTACAATTTTCTCGTATTTGTCTGGGATGTATGGATGGATACTTGGCGGATTCTCGTCGCTGTTTGAGCCCATTACGGGGCAAAACCCCACGGAGTGGCCTGGGAAAGGTAGCGTTAGCGCAGAGGTACCCACGCGACCAGGCGTAAAAACAGCAGCTTGGCGGCAGGAGAGTCACTGCAGACCCGCTAAACGGAACTACCAGAGGTCGGTGATTGAAAATGGTCTATATTTTTTTCAGTCCTAAATAGTTCACACTTCGTTGGCCATTTAATCATTTGTTTGGATTGTTGAGGGCAGTCATTCACCCTTCCAGCTAGCTAACATTAAGTTTTGAGTTAACTTTAGATGGAATTTGTTTATTCACAGCAGGTGAATTTTAAAAAACTATTTTACTGAAGTTTGCTGACAGTATGTTTATAACGGTGTCAGTGGACACCCACATCACATTTAATATCAAGTACACTCATAGCGAAAGCGGAAGTAGTCTAAAACAAACTATTATGACCGTTCCAATATTAACTTATTTTTGTTTAAAATCCTATTTAAATCCAGTAGCTTGCTACTGTAGCACAGCACGGCAGACTTGAGAGTAATTTTAACTGATTTTGTAAGCCTGCTGGTAAAGGTCGCCCAATGATATCTGCATGGTTTTGTTTGGGTTCAGGCAGCACAGTCAGCAGTTTGTATATACTATCAGTACACAAACAAGCTCTAGAAAGACTGGAAAAGAAACAAATACAGTGGCATCATTGTAAATTTTGTTGGTAGAAAAAAGTATATGTTAAACTCTGAGAATTTGATACATTTTTTTTCTTGAAATGTATTTTTGTAATTTGTGAATGTGAGATTTATTTATTTATTTTTTTTAAAATCTCTTTGCAAGATTATGTATTTTTGAAAACCACTCATTTTGAACCATTTTCTGTTATTACAGCGTGCATGTTGCAGAGAGTGTTTGCCAGAGTGAGCAAGTCGAAGTGAAAAGACGCAAAAGAGGTTTGTTAGAATATAAAACTGCTTAATATTTTTTGCTTCCTGACGTGGAATTCGGTGATCGTGATTTGTGGTGTCCTGTCTTTCAGATGTCGTCATCAGCTTCATGAAGAAGACTGTGGCTCGGGTAGCAGGTTTACTCAGACTGCGGAAATCACTGACGAGGTGTGAGAAGCCCAGATCTCATGAAGAAACACAGGTGAGTGCCCCGTCTGTGCTTCAGACGCATACATTTGGTATTGTTTGCTACAGTGTATCAGAGTTCATCGAATAGACAAGTACTGTAATGACTGGGAGTTCTAAGCTGAGGTGTAATGATAGGTAGACACACACCACTTCTTAGGGCGTTTTCACAGCTACTCTAAGGAGCTTGGAAAGAACAGCGTCTACACTTCTTTAAGTTGCTTCAAGATGTTTCACCTCTCATCCGAAAAGCTTCTTCAGTTCTAGGGTCAAAGGGTGGAGAGTCCCAGATGTAAGCCCCGTGGGAGTGTCCCCCAAGAGGGACAATGATCCTCTACCTAGTCAGACGACTCAAGGTGTTAAGATGGGTGTAGGTCACAATCAGCCAAGGTTTCGGGTGAGGTCATTGTGAAACCTAACCTAACCCCACCCTGTCATGTGATTTCCTGAGGTTAGATGGCCCAGGATGTGAGTAGGCGTTAAGGCGTCTGGGAAGGGATCTCAGAACTGGATTATAGATGGCAGACAGTTGGTGCCGTAAGCAACCGCCTCTGTTCAAAGGTGGTCGTTCACAGTGGACGTAAATGGCTTCTTTCACTCCTCTTTCAAACCATCTGTCTTCTCTGTCCAAAATGTGAACATTGTCATCCTCGAAAGAGTGACCTTTTTCTTTTAGATGTACAGTAGATAGACAGCCGAGTCTTGTCCCATGGAGGTGGCTCTTCTTTCCAAGCTCCTTGAAGTACGATGACCTGGATGTCTGAGAACCTTTACAGACAAAAAAAATGTCCCATAAGCCTTGCATTCTGGGATGCAGCAAGGTACTATAGATGTGCAGAGGGTCTGTACAGGCTAGCAACTAGCTGTGAAATGAATGTCAAGTCTCCATGTTGTCAAATAATCCAGAACACAGGCCCTTCTTCCTGTATTTACTTTTGTTGCTCCCACCCCAGACACATCTGGCCAATAGGACAGAAAATTCTCACATGGTTTGTAGTCACGCATATTGGTTCACTTGGAGCTCACTCAGATTTTCTATGTGAAAACAAACCAAATCACAGGGAAAATCTACAAGTTAACAAACTCATCAAGTGATTCGGACCTTTATGGAGGAGCGATTATGGCTAATTTAGGCAAAACAACACTTTAAGTCTTTTGGGAGTCTCTTTGTGAGATGTGATGCATACTACATGTGCTGCTTTATCCATGTGGATACATACAGTTTCATAGCTAACTTTATTTATCCGTGTAACTCTCTGTAATTCCATTGAATTTCCTCTGTTGATCCAGCCTGTCGCTCTAATGGGCATAGATGAGCTCCACACCTCATGGCTGAACAGTACTGAATGGAGAATGGGTAAGCGAAGATGGACCTTTTAGTGCACAATTCATGATTATACTCACGTCACTGTGTTTCAACCAAGCTTGTCAGTGCAGAATGATCTCATCCTTATACCCAATGTCATTTGTTTTGATGTTCTTTCTTCAAAGATAAACCAGTAGCTGGAGGTAATGAGAGTCAGGGAAAGAATCCTTTTCAGAGCTCTTTACCTCCTTTAATGAGGAAATACAGGCAAGTGATTCAGTACTGGAGATTTATGTAAAGTACAAGTCATCCAGTACCTTTTTTTTAGCCTTTGTGCTTGCAGTCTTCAGGCTGTTCTTTTTCTTTTATGTTACCACCTATTGAAAACGGGTCCCATGCTAATCTACCTCCCTCTTTTTATTTTAATCCAGTGGGACAACGCTCCCTGTAGGGCTTCCAGACAGAGCAAAGGACAGGGAGAGGAGAGGATCCCTCCAGCTGCTGTCCTCAAGGCCTGTGCTCAGGGTGGGAAATGCTAATCCTGACCCAACATGCAATGGCTTTGGACACAACCGCTGCTACAAGCCCAGTCTTACTGTGGAAGAGGTAAATTAGTCAGTTATTTGTATATATGAAAATATACTTAAATTCCACTTTTCCCCACCTCACAGTGCCAATAATCAAACTTTAAAAGTATGAACCTCTGCATGTTCATTTCTGATATTTTTGGTGTCTTCAGGCCATAAAGCAGAATAATAAGGAGCACTACAGGCGGCTGCTGGAGATGGTGACAGAGAAATACAGCAAAAGCCAGCCACTACCTTTTAACCAATCAAAACCACAAGAGTTAGTATTAGCTTTGATTTTTATGTGTTTTTTTTTCTTTTCATTTTAATATTTCCATTGGCCATGAGCTAATAAGTGGCTTATTTTGTATTTATCCTCAGAGATCCGTTGTCACAGGTTGATCACAAAACTGCTGCTTCAGTAAAAACTTTTGAATCAGTACACAGGAAGACGGGACAGATAGGTGGGGCACTCGGCTATCCATTACAGACAAAGCTGATTTGTTTTTATTCATTGCTGACGATTACAACTAATTGCAGATTGTTATTAGTTTAACTTCACCCTTTTTTGTAATCTATAAATAATTTTGTCAATAACACATGATCAAATATCAATTAATGAATATAATTCTTTTGTAAGGTTACAAGTGGCTTTTACTTGAAAAAACAACTTTAACAATCACAGAATTGTCCAGATACTTAGTTGGGGGGGATGGTGTGTTGATTAAATCATGACTGTTTGATCTCTGGTTTATTTGTAATATATTATTAGAATAAATAAAGCCTTTCATATCACACAGTCACTTCACCCAAAGTAGGTTTAAATGCATGTATACATATTGATCAGTAAACATGTTGCAGTGACTCTTCTGTTCATGGTTTATGGTTTATTTCACAGCTGCTGCAAGTCTATTTACATGGAGAAATGCATCTGCGGCTAACGACAGGTTGGTGCGGTGCTATTTTTATTTAAACGACTGCGTCATGCATAACGAGGAATGATTGCTTTAACTTCTTTTATGCGACTCGTCTTCAGCAGGGGGAGTTTCACCTTTAGTAAGCCAATTAGTGGACCCTTTGAGGACCCACAGCCTGTTGGATATATAAAGGTAGTCACTCCTCCTCTTCTCTGACATGCCACAGCATGGATACGAGTCTGTCCTGTCCATAATCTTGACCTGTGTTGCAGCAGAAACATCCAGCAGATTTGGATCTTTCTACAGAGGTAGCTACTCGCCTCAACCTCGTGGACAGAGACGCTCCTGCTGTCGGTCTGCCTGACACACATTCTGCACATACAAGGCACAGTGAGGAAGACATACCCAGACTGACCAAGGTAAGAGTCTGTGTTTAATGTGGACTTTTTATGCTGAGATTATTTATTTATTTATTTTTAATGTGTATATTGTCTGTGTGTGTGTGTAGGAAATGGCAGCAGAGGTGAGTGGAGCTTTGGCTCAAAGTGATCCCAACCGTGTCCTGAGTGCAGCTTTCAAACTTCGCATCACACAGCGAGACCTGGGTACACTACAAGAAGGCAGCTGGCTCAACGATGAGGTGAGAAAGTAGAAATGCTGGAAAGGTTTTTAAATAGAATAAATTTCATGGTTATTTTAGACAGTTATTTAATCTAAAAGCTCTTGAAAACTTCACAAAAAAGTACACAGCACAAAAAGTCAAAAACAGGACAAGAGCAAGTTTTGCACAAAAACAATGGAGGAAACAATCATGTCTGTATTTACCTTGATTTTCTTGTTTTCATAATTGTTAGATAATTGTTGTTAGTTAATGTGAGTGCTTGATTTTTATTGTGTGACGCATAATTTTATTTATCACGCCCAGGCCAGGCAGCCTTATAAGGCACCAGTGACAAAGGAGCTGAGCCAGTGGACTAACTAGATATTCTTTATTAATCATAGGGGCAGTACAAAAGAAGGTGTAATTCATTCTCAACCTCTCATAATCCCCATAGCCTCTTGCCATCCTAGAGTTCAACAGTGATGTTTGGCATAATTTGAATACATCTTCACAATTTTGGCGTTAACAAAATATCTTAAGTATTTGTCTTATATGTTTATCTTTCTTCAAATTTGATTCACATTGCTACTAAAATGTCATTGTAGAGATACTGTAGTGGTTCAGCTTCCTCAAAAACACCAAAGAGCTCCACAGCATTCTTTAAATCCCTGTTTTTTGCAGCATAATTTAATATAGAGTTATCACATGCATCATGCATTTGTGTCCTAAGAAAAACCCAACATGTCAGCTAAATCTAGCAGCTTCATAGTTCGTAAATGCATCAAGATATTTGTGTCTGATCCAGTGTTACAGGCCAGAGGTTTCTTGCTTCTTAGTGTGCCTTTTTTCCCTAAAATTAAAATTCTTACTTATTTAATTATGTTTGTAGCTGACCATCATCTATAGCACTAGCTGTTTAATACATTTAATGTCTTACAAATTATCTTCAGACTCAACCAGTATGGTAATATCATCTGCATACAATCAAATGCCCAGGGCGAAATCACCCATATAAATTGGATTCCTTAATTCTAAGAGCTAAATAAATTGTACACAGGGTAGGAGAAAGAACATCACCTTAATGCCAAAGAGTGTTAAACCAACCAGTATGCATATTATTAATTAATTGCATGTATAAATACTAATTTATGTTATTTTGTTGTAAATGTTTTGTTAAAAAAAAGTTGTAGACTCAGATTATTCAATGTGTGTCTTTAATGAGTGTTTATGTATGGCATGTTTTATATTACAATTTTTGTGTTCTCCACCAAGGTGATGAACTTCTACCTTTCCCTGATTATGGAGCGAAGCTCTGGTGAAGCAGGGCGATTAAAAGTCTACTCCTTCAGCACCTTCTTCTTCCCAAAGCTGAGGGGTGGAGGAGGCGGGCAGGCTGGAGGACACGCTGCTGTGAAGCGCTGGACCAAAGCTGTCGACCTCTTCACGTTTGACCTCATTCTGGTCCCTCTGCATCTAGGCGTCCACTGGGCATTGGCTGTGAGTCACTTTGGATCTACCAGTTTTTGACTTGCTCTGCCTAAAAATACCTGTAATATTGCAAAGGCTCACTCTGTACATCTAAACTGTGATCAGTATTTTTGCCAGTCATTGTCACAAATCAAATGTTTGCACTGTTTTTATTCCAGAGAAGCAGAAGTGCACATTTTAATCGCTCACCTTTTTCTTTGCAGGTGATAGATTTTCGGTCAAAGACAGTGAAGTCTTATGACTCGATGGGCCGGAGACACGATGACATCTCGAGTCTTTTACTGTGAGTCGTCAATTTTCTCTTAAGCTCCATTTTACTGGCTACGTTAGACATGTTTTCACTATAGATTTGTTTTTACTGAAGCATTATAAATGATGTAATTGTGCTGATTTTTCAGACTCTACCTTATAGAGGAGCACAAAGCAAAAAAGGGTAGAGAGCTCGACTGCACCAAATGGACTGTTGGAAGCTTGAAAGCTAGTGTAAGTCTGTGATGAATGAAGTAACACTTCAAATGTGTTATTCCTCACAGTGAAATTAATGACTCTGTATTATGCATGTAGGAGATTCCCCAGCAGAAAAATGGAAGCGACTGCGGTGTTTTTGCCTGTAAATATGCTGACTATATCGCAAGAGGACAGCCCCTTACCTTTAAACAGGTGTGTATTCTGAAATCCCTGCCTTTCTTGGCACATTGCAGCATATCAGTGAATTGGTGTGAAACCATGTATGAAAGTCCAATTTAAATATACATATGAACAGATAACAAACGATATACGAATAACATCTGCTTCTTACTTTACAGTGCCACATGCCTCTCTTCAGGAAGTTGATGATTTGGGAAATTCTTCATCAGAAGCTGCTATAGAATAGAAGGGTCGCATCCATTGTTAATGGCCTACCAGAAGAGACTGAGTCAGTGGGAACAACCTCTCGTGTACAGTGACTACATGTGAAGTAAGAGAAGAATAAATGGGCCAAAGAAGTGGACTTTACCGACTGAGATCTAACCCAGTCTCGCTCTCCAGATCTGGAGTAACAAACACTAGTCTTAAGAGTTAATTGTTGCTTATCGTGTCAGGGACATGTAAACATTTTGTATTCTCTGAGTTGTAATTAGAGACAGTATTTGTAACAAGTGTGTGTCTTAAAGAAACTTTGGCACTACTGACTGAATGACTTGTTATTGATTGTGTTTCCTTATTGTTTGAAGTGCTGCTTGAAGTGCCTTAAGTCTTCTCACACTGAGCTCGGCAAAGTTTTTTTTTGTTTTTGTTTTTTTCCCTTCAGTTGGGAAATTTGTTATTTACAACCCAACAATCTAGGTGTAGTTTACCCCTCCCAGCTATGATCAGAGTGGACAGCAGATGACTGGGGTGAAACTTAATCTTTTTCTAAAAATATAGACAATGGCAATTAAAATACCTCCTCCAGACATTTGTCTGACAAAACGTGCATGATTGAGTGCTTGTCGTAATGACAAGATGTATGATTCCCGATTATTTATGACTGGATGAGTGTATTTTGGAGTGTCTGTGTATAGTTTTTTTTTTTTTTCTTCATGACTGGAGTATTAACAGTTGTCTCTCCATATTTACCATAAAGCGCTGTTAGAGCTGTGAATCTGTTCAATAAGTATACTGCAGCAGGCTATTTAGGGCTGTTACAAAGACTCGAATTATAGTATACTCCATTTAAAAGACAAACTACTGTACACACATGCATGTTTGTGCTCATGTCTTTTTTCTTTTTCTTTTTTTTTTTTGCTAAAATAAAGTATTTCTCCTTTTTTTTTAAAAATTATGTATTGATTGATTTATCATTAGATTAAGTGAGATAAAGGCAAATAATCTGTGTCTGTGGACTGGATCAGCCACAAGAAAAGGTGTTGAGGGATATTAGGAAAAGTATTGCAAATATATAAGCCTGGAAAATGGAGGTTAGTATTAAAAAGAAATACAGAGATCTAATCGCAAAATAGTGTTTTTGCAATGTCCAAGGCATGTTAGGTTTTTAAATTTTTTTAAAGCCTTATGAAAATTAATCATCTCATTCATGAATATTAAGAACAGTGGTTTGATAAATTGTTTGTTCATAATAATAAAGCTGCTGTACAATAATTCTTTTCCTTTCCATCATTATAACACCAAATTTAATATAAATAAAAATTATTTCTCAGGAAACCGATTTTGATTTGTTAACCAAAAAGTCCGAGTTTGATTACAATCCCAAAACATGTTTTAAAGTTTAATAACAAGTGTTATTATTATTATTATTTTATTAAGACTGAAGTGTTTTCTCTTTAGGTGATAATAGGTAGAGTGAGCTCAGGTTGATCTTTAAAGAGATTTTTCCTTTTTAAGGTGAAGGAGAGAGCTTGGATGTAAATGTGCCCCTTATCAATTTGTATGTGTGGAAAATCTAATTTCCATACAATCTATATCATTTATATAAAACAACAGCTTCTGTGGTATCATCAAACACACTGAAAATTATTTTTATTACTGCATTTCAAAAAAATACTTCTCAGTAAAAACATCATATTCAAGAAAATTCCCCTTTGAATCCAAATACCTCTCTCCACCAAGTTGCAATAATAAAGGGATTTTATACATCTGTTAGTACAAACAGGATAACTGAGGACTGAAACTGTGCTTATCATCGGATTAAACCTGGAAAGTTTAAAGGGTAATTTAGAAACACAAGTCAACAAGTCAAATTTAAATAGAAAATCTACTCCGACACATAATAAATATAGTGGATATAATATAGTCACTCCGTTATATCGGAACCTCTTTTCGATTAGATTTTGCTAGCTCTTTTAGATTTAGCTAGATTTTATTGCCCCCTTTTGTAAGAAGTTGTTTTTCCAAATACAGTTCTACATTCCATTGATTAAGGGATCTAATCAAAATTATAAGAATACGCTCAAAATATACATGATTTCTTTAAACTTTATTTATGCATATTTGACTTAGGCGCTTTTAACTTGAAACTCAAACCGGAAGAGGAAAGCGTCCTCCTTAGGCGCAGACCGTTTCTGTTCAGGTCAAAGCAGTACGCGTTTTCGGTAGAGGCAGCAGTAAGATTAGTCTTCAGAGCAATTTTAGCGTTAAATATCTTTTAACGCATTTGCTAAACGTGTTATTTTATAATGAGCGACAACGAGAAAGAGTTCAGGGAGCAGGTGAGTTCACGATTCATGACAATCAGCGTTAGGACGAAATAAGCTGTTAGCTACATTTGCAGATCTGTTTAACGGCTATATTTTCTTTTTAAACAGGCCTCGAAATTAGTAAAAGTCGAGTTTATACAAGGATATTAAGCACGTTGTGTGAATTATAGACTTAGATTCTTAAAGTTTATTGGGGCGTTTATGTGAAAATAAGAGGGCTAGCGCTTGCTTGCTAAGCTAAAGCGTGCGGCCTGCTAAGCGCAGCGGTCGGTAGAGGAGGCCGCCACCTGGCCGCGGGTGCTTTCACTTTCTCATTTACTTGTTATCTAACGTTGCTTATTGAAAATATAACTAGCCAGCAGCAAACATATGTGTACAGTTAATAGTTAGCTACCTCAACGTTCAGCTGTTTGTGAGTAAGTTGTAGTTTAGTCCCAATGAAGGCCAGTTAAACGTAAAAAGTGCACCTTTTCATTCCTAATAATAATGTTTCCTAGTTTTTCTTGATGTTTTTTTTCCCTTTTCATTTTTTTAAATTTCTGGTTTTAACAGACACCAACATGCCTTATCACCCTTGTTTGTTCTTTGTTAAGGTTGAGGTTGGAAGAAAGAAAAAGGCGGAAGACGTTTCAGATGTGAAGTTATTGTTGTTTGAAGCTGATGGTGTTGATGCATGCTAATGTATGGGAGAGATGCTGAAAAAAGAAGCGATCAAGAGCTGTCCCCGCGTCTAGTGTTGTAATGGCAGATGGTAAAAGGGGGAAGAGGAGGAAAAAAAGAAGTCATATATTCAAACGGAAGAAAGAAGAAATGAAGGGTTGTTATGAAGTAATGAAGTTAAAGAAGTTATGAAGTTAAGATGAGAAGTTTTCCAGGGTATGAGTAATTTCCTAACAGCCTGCTATGTTATTACTCTATTTCATCCTATTATTTTTCTCTATAGCATGCATGATTTTCCCTCTCTGTATCAGCCACATCACTGGTCAATTCCTCCATTCTTTATTTTTAATTAACTTTTTGTGCAGTCAATATTTAAGCTACATTTCTTAATATCTGCTTGAAATATCTTTAGTATTTCACCTAATTCCTCAATATTTAGTCTCAAACCTGTTAAATGCGAAAATGTGGTTAACTTCTTCTGAAAAGGGCATTGAAGGTGGTGAGCGGTGTCACCTCCAGGCCCTGTAGTGTTGTTGTTTTGGTACATTTGGCTTTAGAGTGTTTCTGACATCTGCAGTCTGGTTTGTTCAGGACTCTCGGGCCGGCTCGCGGAGCGCATCCCCTGGAGGCTCACCTAAATCCACTAGCCGCTCACCAGCGCGCTCCAGAGGTGGTTCCCATCATTCCAGATCCAAATCTCAGTCCCGATCTAGATCTCGGTCAAGATCTAAATCCAGGTAAGTCAGGTTTCTGATTTAAGGTACATAACAAGATAATCGTGTGAGATTTTGGTTTCCTCACCTGTGATTTTTTTTTTTTTTTTTTTTTTTTTGTCTGCAGGTCTCGATCCCATCGAAGTTCACGCAGACACCACTCCCGTTCCCGCTCTCGTTCCCGCCGGCGCCGCTCCAGGAGCCGATCTCGTAGCTCTGAGTACCGCCGGCGCAGGAGCCACAGCCGCTCCCCCATGTCGAATAGACGCCGACACATTGGCAACAGGGTATGGTGCTACTTTGTTAACTTGTACTCAAGGTGTTTATGGAGACGCGAGTCATCAATTTTTAGATTAAACAGTTTAATGTTGACTGTGTGATGTATAGTTTAAGGTGTGTGTGTTTGTGTGACATTGTGAGATATGTTGACATGTCACAATCATGAATTTCTCATCTTAAATTATTTTTTTTGTCCCCACACATCAACGTTTCTGCTCACAGGCCAACCCAGACCCCAACAACTGTCTGGGTGTGTTTGGTTTGAGCCTCTATACCACTGAGAGGGACCTAAGGGAGGTTTTCTCTAAGTATGGCCCGTTGGCAGACGTCAACATTGTGTATGACCAGCAGTCACGTCGATCCAGAGGCTTTGCCTTTGTCTACTTTGAGAACTGCGAGGACTCCAAGGAGGTCAGTAGAATAACATAGGGATATGTATTTAAAAACTTAAAATAGTTGGCTTATTTGTCCTAATATAGTTAACCTCTTTGCTGTTAAAAAGCTATTTTAGTTCAAACTAAACTTCAAAGAGCACATCCATGGTTTTGTACAAGGTGAACAATAGTAAGTAAAATAGCATAAAAGACAAATGTGAAAGTGAAACTTGTTTAATTATGCAGCTCGTCTTGTCCGTCCAGTCTGCTGTTTAGTGTCTACAGAAGAGTGAAACAATTTGCAATGCAAACAATTTCAGTTAGTCTGCTTCTGACTGTGCGTGTGTGTTTATTTTAGGCCAAGGAGCGAGCTAATGGAATGGAGCTGGATGGACGCAGGATCCGAGTGGATTTCTCTATTACCAAACGAGCCCATACTCCCACTCCAGGAATCTACATGGGACGCCCCACATAGTGAGTGCTTGTCCACTGGGGAGCTTGAGATGTTATATGGTTACTTGAGCAAAATTGACACACTATCATTTGTTTTAAGTGGTGGTGGTGGTGGTGGTGGTGGAGGAGGCGGCGGTGGCGGCGGCGGCGGCTCATCACGTCGTGTCTCAAGGGACTACGACAGGGGCTACGACAGAGGCTATGATAGAGGCTACGATCGTGACTACGATCGTTACGATGACCGCGAGTACCGTTCATACAGGTTGGTGCTTTTTCCAGCACCGTTTGTATCCCAGTGTTGATCACGAAGATTTGATAATGATGCATGATTGATAAAGACTCAAATTAGTCAGTAACTGTAACTAAAATTTTTTTCCTCCCCTCATCCTACAGGCGCAGATCTCCATCTCCTTACTATAGTAGAGGATATCGCTCTCGATCACGATCCTACTCACCACGTATGTTTAAACCATGTTTCTGCCATTAGACTAGTTTATTTAGAAAACCTTCAATTTGACTCAATCTCTAAACTTTATGTATTTTTAAACAGGTCACTACTGAGCAACAAGAGAAGAGGCGACAGAAGTGTTACTGTTTGGATGACAGTGTTTTTGTTTTAAATCTGACAATATTATGTATGTGGTTTAAAAACTCTGCATCTGTTTGTGTATCAAAAGTTTAACAAAATTGATCCAAAAGAACCCCCTAAATTTCTCCCTGAGCACAAAAAAGTCATCAGGGAATCATGCTGCACCAAGTCTGTGCGAAGAATCCGTTTTTGGTTTGTTTATTTTTTTCTGAAAAATGGAAAAAAAAATTTTTTTTGTTTTGTTTTGTTTTTGAAGACTCAGTGTGATCAAATGAATTGAAAGCACAGTCAGTGGTTGTAAAAAGGCTAGGATGTTCTCAGTAGTTTTTGTTTTGTTTTTATGTATCATAGCTGGATTTTTCTGTGCCAGTTTTACACTTTCTCATTTTGCTCTTTGTTGGTAGGTGATTTGTTAAACTGTCGTGAGCCTAGTTTGCCCCTCATTAAGTTTTAAATGCCATGTTTCTTTTTCAGTTTGTTTTTGCTTGATCGAACGTCCACTTTTGTTTGTATATAAGAAATTAAAAAAAAAAAATACTTTGACCATGCTGTGCTCTTTGTATTTAAGATGTGCTTCCATTTTTTTCACACCTAAATTGTGTTATTATCAAAATTGTCAGAGTTACTGGTTAAAGCATTAATTATTGAACATTATTTGATTAAACTAATGTCTTCCACCAGTAAGAAAAGTATTGCTTGCTTACTACAAACAATATAAAAACAAACGTTTGGGTTTTATTTTAATAAATTACAGCAACAGCTACACGCAGTCATAAGCACTGCTGCTCCCTTTAGGGGTCAGCACAGTGGATCATCAGCCTCAATCTCATCCTATCTAGAATCTTTGTTACAGCAACACTGTAAATCCTCCACAACATTTGTGGATCTTCGCTGTGGTGGTTTTGTTTTCCTCCTGCCTGTCAGCTCCATGTCCTTTGTCCATTATATTCCTCTACAATCCACTCAACCTGATCTACTCATCTAATGTACTCATAATCTTGTCCATGAAAATCTTTCTGCTGTCCTTTTGTCACAAAACACCCCTGTCGCTCATCTTCCCTCCACCTTGCCTGCCCTCTTCTTCACTTCTTGTGCACTTTCTGTTGCTATGGATAGTTGATCCATGTGGGGAACAGGCTAAGCAGAGAAGCTCAGACCTCTCTCTGTCCAGCCACTGGGACACCAAAGCATTCTTAGGATATCTGAGAGACATCTCTCCAGCATTTCTTGCTTCTGCTGTCTTTCATTCCTCTTCTCTCCAGTGCATACTTCAACCTCTCCAGGCTTCTCTTCTACCTGCTCCCTATATTCACTTAATTTGAGGACATTGTATTTTGAAAAAGTAGACCCCTTTCTGTTGTTGTCCAGCGTATTTTAATAAGAAATTACCTCAGATATCCAGTTCTATCGAAGCTAGTTCAGAAGTAAAGTCTTTTCTTATGGGTTCTGGCCATACTGACTTCGTGTTCTTGAACGCATTACGCACACGTCACGGTGAAACAGACCGCGGAGTAATTTTAAATACTCACGAGACGACTCACGTATCGTATAACAAAAGAAAGGCAGAAAAGTGCATTTAAATTAAATAATTTGGGGCAAAATAAAAAATATATGTCCAAGTTGAGTTATGTCGTGGCATTTCCAGCTCTTCGCCCGACCAATCAGAGAGCCCTTACGTCAAAACACTTCCGCTTTGCTCCCCAGCTTGTCTTTCCAGTAGAGCGGCCGGTGTGAACACGCATCAGGAGTGGACAGCACGTAGCCTGCAGGTTTTAAGGTAGCAAAAGAGACGTTTTCTTAGCCAAATAAATGTTGGTGTCTTTGTAAAGTTCGGACGGTACAAACAGGACTATGTATTCTGGTTTAAATTTTCCCATCTGCTAGCTAGGAGTGGTTCCAGTTAGCTACTAGCTGGCGTTAGCATGCTGTGTTTGAATGAGCATATGACCCTACACGTTTTTAGTGGAGCCAGCTGACATGCAGCAGAGCCGAGGAGTTGGTTAAAAAAAAACTCTGCTTTTTTTAGTATCCCAACACGAGTGTCTTAATCTGACCATCTTGTTTTAAATCTCGTAGATGCCTCCAAAGAAGACAGAAGCTCCGAAGCAACCTCCATTGATTGGACGATTTGGAACATCCCTAAAAATAGGAATAGTGGGATTACCTAATGTTGGGTATGTAAATTTTATAGCATTTTTTCCTAGCTGAATGAGTGGGAAAAAGTGTTAGGCGTCACCATTCTCTCTTAATGCTGTTGCAGGAAATCCACATTTTTCAATGTGCTGACTAAAAGCCAAGCTGCTGCGGAAAACTTCCCCTTCTGCACAATTGACCCAAATGAGAGCAGGGTACCCGTTCCTGATGAGCGATTTGATTTCCTCTGCCAGTACCACAAACCTGCCAGGTGTGTATTGCAACAGCTGGTTAGAAGATGTAAGGACATCTGCATCATCTGATGATCTTCCTTGTCACTTCAGTAAGGTTCCCGCTTTCCTGAATGTTGTGGACATTGCTGGTCTGGTGAAGGGAGCTCATTCTGGACAGGGACTCGGAAACGCCTTCCTCTCTAACATCAGTGCTTGTGATGGGATCTTCCATATGACTCGTGAGTTACAGTTGCTGCGGTGTAGTAACAGCTGAGAGAGAGCACAGGTGTCAGGGCATGCTGGAAATAAAGGTCTTATGGGGTAATAGGTCCATCTTAAGAACTTTTCTCAGTGTACTTTTGGCTTTGACTAGGACTGGGAATTGAAGCCTAGTTCCAAACTGTTTCCATCTACAGTTTAAAGGTGTGTTCTGATTCTGAACCCTTAACTGGATAAGCAGTTGAGAATAAAGATGGATGAATGGTTATGATGGGAACATTTAAGTTAAAATTAAAAAAAGAAGAAGGAATCTTTATCAGGGTTATATTATATATTAGAAGTGAAATCTGTGTATTAAATCTGAGCAGTTTGCATTTGTTTGTTTGTTTTTTTGTTTTTTAATATCCAAGACCAGAGGTGTTATCCAGCATTGTCTGATTTTGCATTTGTGTCCATATCTCAATGATTCTGTTTCATAAATTGGTATAATGAAATTTGTGGTCATTCGAAGGTAATGTTAGGCAGATCTTGAGAGACTAAAGAACAATTAATTTTGTTTGTTTCCCTCTCACCAATTAGTCAATAAATAATGAAGGCAAATGAAATAAAAAGGCAAAATAATTGGCTCTTGACTTATTTGTTAGTTTCACTTTTCAAAAAAGTGAAAGGGGACATCAGTTTGCTTAGAAATAAATTAGCAGAATTGAAAATTTAAAATATGTTTTAAATTGATTAACAATCTATTAAGTCTTGCTGTTGCTGTACTTCTCCAGTGAAAGTATTTGCATTTTTTTTTCTTCAAGCTATGTCGTTGCACCGACAGTCTGCTGACGCTTGTTTGTGTTAAGGTGCGTTTGATGATGAGGATATCATCCACGTGGAGGGCAACGTTGACCCGGTGAGGGACATCGAGATAATCCACGAGGAGTTGCGGCTAAAAGACGAAGAAATGATCGGTCCAATTATCGACAAACTGGAGAAGACTGCTGTCAGAGGAAGTGACAAAAAACTAAAACCTGAATATGTAAGTGAAGGTTTTTTTGTAGAAGCATTTACTTTTTGTCTTTTGTTGATTCTGAATTAAATCGGTCTGTATATGCTGCTTCACATGCTTCTTTTTGCTTCAGGATATCATGCTGAAAATAAAAAACTGGGTGGTAGAAGAGAAGAAGCACATCAGATTTTACCATGACTGGAATGACAAAGAGGTACTGATGTGTTCCAGTGTAAACAGTTTTTCTCCCTGAGACCCTATTTGAAACGGCTTTTTCATAAAGAACTTCATCTCTAACTCTTCACAGATTGAAGTTCTGAACAAGTACCTGTTTCTGACTTCCAAGCCCATGATCTACCTGGTTAATCTTTCAGAGAAAGATTACATCAGGAAAAAGAACAAGTGGTATGTTTGCTTTCACCCTGTGTGTCTACATGTCGCATATATTAATCTTACCGTCCTCTCATTTCTTTGCCATTTGAAATGACTCATCCTGCGGCCTGTTGTTCATCAGGTTGGCAAAAATCAAGGAGTGGGTAGATGCTCATGATCCTGGCGCTATGGTCATTCCTTTAAGTGGAGCTTTGGAGTTTAAATTGCAGGACATGGAGGAGGAGGAGAGGAATAAATACTGCGAGGAACAGAAGACACAGAGGTATTTGGTCATTAGTCTTTAAGTTGTTAATATCATGCTAAACTTGAAGGGTACTTTCTTTATGGGTGTACTGTGAAGCAAGCAGTCTCTGGTATTGTAGGTGCAATTCCAGCAGGGCAGAAGAAATGTGTAGATGCCTTTAAATGCATTGCTCCCTGAATACATGCACATGTCAGTTAGAATGCAATGCACAATTTGTGCTGCTGTAACTTTCACAGCAGGGTTTATTCATGGGTAGTAGTAAGGAACGGCTCAACACGTTGCATGCATAAAACAGTTTTATTTAGGCAAACTCTGTATTGCAATCAGAGGAATAATTGGGGAAGACATGGCACTTTGAGGTGACTTTAAACTGAACAACACTAAAAACTTTGATTTTAAGTTCATGGCTTACTAACCCTTTAATCACTCTTTGTTAGTTGCACCTTTCTGCTGTAATGATATTAAATGGCTGCAGGCAACTTAATACTGAGTACTGAGTAATTAATTAAAGTTTGCACTGGTCCTTATTTACTAATATGCTTTGAAACGTCCGTACCCTGTGCAAAAATTGAATTTGCAAACCATTTTTTGTTTTGTTTTGTTTGTGTGTTTCTAGTGTTTTGACCAAAATAATAAAGACCGGCTATGCAGCGCTGCAGCTGGAATACTTCTTCACAGCAGGACCAGATGAGGTGCGAGCGTGGACCATCAGGGTGAGTGTTTTGACGTGTGTGTGTGTGTGTGTGTGTGTGTGTGTGTGTGTGTGTGTGTGTGTGTGTGTGTGTGTGTGTGTGTGTGTGTGTAACCTTTTTAAAAATACATAATTAACTCTTGTGATTGAAGATAAACCACTCTGATAGTTTTGAATTTCAGAGATCTTCACTGAGTTTAAAAAATAAAAAAATAATTTATTCAAAGAATATTTTGGAAAGCTTAATTTTCCAATGTTTTTTTTTTTTTTTTTCCTAATTTGTGATTAGAATGTTGGCTTGTATTAAAATTCCAACATTTTGCGTCATTTTTGTTATTTTTTTTTCTGACAACCAGCTTCACTTTTGTTTTCCGTTATTATATTTAAGTAGTCAGTGAAGATCTGACTTGTAAAACTGAGTGATGGAAACATCTGACATAGATTTTTAAATATATGTGATATTATATTACTTTGGCTTTTGCCATTTGGTGTCTTCAACAGTTCTATAATTGAATACTGATAGAAATTTTATTGTTTCTTTGTTCAAAACAGAGCCCTGAAGTAAATTTTTGACAGTTGTCATCATTTTGTGATGATATCAGGAGCGCAGATTGTTACTTTTGCAGAATTTCTTAAATGTGATGCATTTAATAAATACATATTTTATTTATAACATGTCCTGTTGTGCTTTGGTCCCACAGAAAGGTACAAAAGCTCCTCAGGCTGCTGGAAAGATCCATACTGACTTTGAGAAAGGCTTCATCATGGCCGAGGTGATGAAGTTCACAGACTTCAAAGAAGAGGGCAGTGAAACTGCAGCCAAGGTGTGAGCTTTTGTTTTGTTTTGGGTGTTTTTGTTTGTTTGTTTTTCCCCAGCCCAATTATTCCTGAGTTGCTGCATGTGCTGAATTTCCATCAATAACTGTTATTATTCTGGAATATATCAACTATAATTTTTTTCCCTTGTTTCTTTCTCTCTCAGGCTGCTGGGAAGTACAGGCAACAGGGCAGGAACTACATTGTGGAGGACGGGGACATTATCTTTTTCAAATTCAACACACCCAATGCACCCAAAAAGAAATAAGACCACAGAGTCACTGGGTTGGGGGAATCAAAACTCAGAATACAGTTTAGTCCCACAGAGCACACTGTCTGCTGGTTTTCATACTTCTTTTTTGATTCTGATGGCTTCAGCTGTTCGAATCAGTTTTTGGTAACAATGCTTTAGTTGTTCATGTGTTTTTAACACATAAAAGACTGTTTTTTGATAATTTAATTTAAAGAAAAGCTCAGACTTCTTTTGAGACAGGTTTCTGTTTTGGATTTTTTTAAGACTTAAGTGTTTTATTGCTCCGAGCAGCTCATCTTTTCTCTCTTCATGAATTGCAGTCATGGCTACAGCTGATTAATCTGTAAGCTTTCACATTCTAATGAGCCTGTTGTTTGGTGCATTAGTAAGGGCAGGCATGGCTGTTCTATCATAAAAATACTCATAATTGCATAAAGCAACAACGTGCTGCAGGTGAATTAGTTTTAGATGTCATCCCTTAAAATTTAAAAAGAGCAGCACAGTTCTATTAAATTTAAAAGGTGCTAAAATATATTGTGTCCAAAAATCAATCATCATTTCTTCTTGGGAGAACGAAAGCCATCGGTCGGTGTTTCATTGAGGGTGGGGCTGAACTGTATTGTGCTGATAACATGAGGGATATTATTTTAGAAAGAGGAACGGAGACCTCGGTGGCAGTGCCTCATCAGATTCCTGAAGAGAAAGCTGCTTTTATTGATTTACACTTCTGACATAAAGGAGTCCGCCCCGCATAACGAGAGAATGCACCATTGTGGATCATTTGGACTGTACAGCTTTAAATTGCATCATGTTTCACCTCTCTCACTGCCCACAAACTATGCTCATTTTCATAAACATGCTGCCACACTGTGGACTAAAATAGAAATCTTTCTGACCTATGGAAACCAGTGTACAATAAGTATCACCCTCATCAATATGCATGTGTCAATAAAAGGAGATAAACCTGTTACGGTTTTGTATGTTTATTTTCTTTCATTCCAGGCAAAACAGATCGTCGTCCCAAGCTACTCTCATCTCTTTATATTTTGATAGGAAAAAGTTGCAGCATCTATTGAAATTATTTGTGAAACATGTACAGTTGTTTGTGGCAGTGCAGTATATATAAGGAAAAAAAGCTCTTTGGATGTTTGGGTCCATTTCAGATCAAAATCAGGTCCAGGCCTTGAGGAGGTCGATCGATGACTGTTGGTGTTCCACTGTGTTTTTCTATCCAGATTTGCTTTTACTACATTGGCAGTGTGTTTGGGATTATTCTCATGCTAAAAAAATGAAGGCACTTCAGGCACTTTTTAGTTGGTATTGCATGGATGATCAAAATCTTCCTGGGATTTTCTGCATTTATAATTCCAGCAATTTTCACAAGATCTCCAACACCATTGGCTGAAACGGAGATCCAAACTGTGACTCCATCTGTTTTACACATGGCTGTAGACACTGCTGTACCTCTCTCCTTACCTTTGTACATATTGAAAAACAAAAACATATTACCAAAAATGTCAAATACGAATTCATCGCTCCATAAGGCCTGTTGCCACTGATTTTATTTTCAGTCTTTGTGTAATTTGGTATACCTCAACCTTTTCTCACCATTTCTCCTCCTACACAGTGGTTTCTTCATAGTCAACCTTCCACTGAGACCATTTCTGATGAAGCTTCATTGAACAATGGTGGCTTATCTCTCTGTTCTTTGACACTTCTTTTTTTGTCCTGCTAGTAACAAAGTGTCTAAGGACGCTACCAGAGCAGTTGTATACTTTTACACGGACACGAAAGACTGCTTTGCTGTACTTTTCACACGTTCTGGAGGTCGGTCTTATTACTTCACTGGGCTTCATGCACTAAGTGATACAGTCATGTGGCAGCTTAATTCAAAGTTGGTGGTTATAAAAATGTTTTTAACCTATTTTCATATATGGATAAGCTTTCATCGTGGACCCACACATGAAATTTAGCCAGAACAAATAATCTGCTCACCTTCAAGGCCATTCATAACCTCGCTCCTTCTTACCTTTCTGACCTGTTAACCACCACTTGTTCTGCCCGTTCACTTCGTTCTTCTTCTATCCAGCTTACTGTACCTTCCTTCCGCCTCACCACCATGGGAAGCAGAGCTTTCAGCTGCTCTGCTCCCAGGTTGTGGAACTCTGCCCCCAGAAATAAGAAATATTGGTTCTCTCCCCCAGTTTAAATCCCAACTCAAAACTCATCTGTTCAAATCTGCATATTCACTGTGAATCCACTGTTTGTTCATTTTATCTTGTGCTTTTATTTTATTGTTCTTATTCTGCCATTGTTTTACTAAGTGTTTTATCCTATTGTAAAGTGTCCTTGGGTGACTTGAAAGGCGCTCATAAATAAAATGTAGTATTATTATTATAGAACGAATTTAATTTTTAAACGTTTATTTTAACATATTTTTATGGGTTTATAAACTCAAAAGACAAACAGATCTGCAGTGGTTGAAACATTTGGACGTTTTAATCCCGAATTAAGTGAATTAAAGAGCTCCCGATGTTTGATAGCACTGCTTTCTTTAATTATGTGGCATTTGGGATGTGGAATTAACTATTACAACGAGCTAGCTCTCGGTGTGAAGCTGTGATAACACGTGAAGCTGCCTGGTTGTAATTATGGAGGTTAAATGACGTTTGCAGTGAACATAAGTAGTTTGAACTTTTTTTTAAAAATCCCCTCGTATCGCAAACGTCTACGGCTTTAAAGCGAAAGCAAATCAAAAGAGATAAAGCAATACAAAATAAATAAATAACTATTTTTTTTTTGTACTGGAGCGTCTCCGTATTCAAACTAAGCCCTGTTTAAATTTCAACAACTGCATTCCTTCTCTTGTCTCCTTCAACAAACAGGAAACACTCGTCCTACAAAAAAATGACTGGCGCCCGATTTTAACCAATGACGTTCCACCACAACCTCCGCTCAGCCAATCGACGTAGAGAAGAAGGGCGGAACGTCCTGTAATGTGATGCAAATTCGACGGTCAAGCTTGTTAGTCCCACCTTTTTGTGTTTCCCGCACCGTCAATCAAAATAGAAAAAAAATCGACCCGAATTCGCCGATCAACACTGGCCCGCCTTTGATAAAATAATCATGTTCGGAGTTTAGTTGATCCGATAATCCCCTGGGTTACTACCACTCACGCTATGACTGGTACGTAAACGTTCAGCACATCGAAGCGTGCAGCTAATCGGTGAGTTTGTGAGAGCTGGAGCCGAGCGAGCTACGTCTTTTTATCTTTAGCTCTGCTGCTAACGAGCTCGATATGGTTAGCTGACTGAGCTAGCTGGCTAGCCACGGAGTTGACAAAGTAAACAGTCGAGCTCGGCCCCCCAAATTTCTTCAGAACCTCCGCTGCAAAGTAGAATTTCGCAGTCGGCTCCTTTTGGGACCGGAGAGTGGGGATGCTTTGCGGGCTTTTCTGGCAGGCAGGAGTTGAAGATTACAGAGTTTTGCTGAGTTTCCCCCTCTCTCCCTGCTAGCGCCAGAGCAGCCTCTGAAACAAGGAGAAATGGCGTCCGCGGACGTGGACAGCAGTCAAAGCGAGTTTCTGCAACCCGGCGGCGCCGCGGAAACACAGGTATCCGACATTTTCTAGCTCGTCTTTCTCGCTCGCTTTCGATTTCTCGGTTGTGTTTTGTTTTGGGAGCATGAAGTTCACAGGTTTTAACATTTTGATGGCATGGGGAGAAAGCCGTACACTTCCTGTGTTCCCCTCAATAACGGCCACCCACTTTACCCCTGTAAAACCCGCCCATAGTGGGTAGGACACTGAAGTCAGTCACTTGGGTCGGCTCGCTGGAAGATAGCCGGTGTACCTTGGGCTCGAAGGATGCAGGGGTGGGATAATGTAGCACGGATAGCGTCCATAATCAAAACAGTAGCTTGGAGTTGTGTTGTAATGGCCACCCATCCCCCACACCCTGCTCTCGGCTGTATCTGAGCCTGCTATCTTCACTCTGTATATGTGTATGTGTGCTGGTAGTGCTCACATCTTTCTTGTGACTTTAAATGCTGCATGATCTACTCCTGCCCGTGCTCCACTTGTTCCTTTCGTGCATCTGCACAGTTTCTGAATCCAAACCTGATTGGTAGACAATAGCCAGACTGTGATCTAATCTGAAGCTGAGAGGAGTCACTGTCTCCCTGTTGGAAGTGTGATCTGTCCCTGTTAATGTGACTTTTGATTGTGCTCCCAGACGACAGATATGTCAGCCATTCAGCTGACGAGCTCAGATCGATGGGAGGTGTTGACTCCCGTATCGGCTGGGAAGGAAGACCAGGGAGTCGTTCACATTCCAAACTCGGGGATTATCACGTCCAACGGGCAGTACGTGCTTCCTATTGGGAGTATTCCCAGCCAGCCCATATATGTTACAGCAACCGGGAGTGAGGCTGCAGCAAATGGAGTGTCGGGCATTCAGTATCAGGTAAAAAAAAAGATGAACAAAGAAAAACATATAGATCAGAGCACTCCAGCATAGGTGATCAGCATGCTCAAAGCTGCCCCCCCCCCCCCCCCCCGCTCTGTCTTTCAGGTCATCCCTCAAATCCAAAATGCAGATGGGACAATTGCAGGATTCCCCACGCAGGGTTTGGATGACGGTACGGGGCAGATTCAGCTACTCCAAGATGGCAGCCAGGGCAGCATTGGAATCAGCTGTGCCACGACGGCAACCACAGATCTCTTGACACAGGCGGGGCAGGTTCAGTCGATCCAAGGCGTTTCGCTAGCTGGAGGTTCGGCGTACACGGGCACCATGCCTGTAGGGCTTCCTGGCAACATAACATTCGTCCCTATAAACAGTGTGGATCTGGAGTCGCTGGGGCTGACCGGGGCTCAGACGGTCCCCATCGCAACAGGAGTCACACCTGAAGGCCAGTTGATAATGAGCAGCCAGGCTCTCGACACCCAGAACCAGGACACCGGAGCCAAACAGTCGCTGGTCACTGTGAGTGACCCGAGCGCCAACCAAGAGCTCTACGTGCCAACAACCACTTCCTCTTCCAACTCCGCCCAGCTTCCTGAGACCATCGACGGCACAGGAGTTCTCACCCAGGCGACTGCCGTGTCCGCAGGCGTGTCTGATCTGTCGTCCTCGGAGAACTACAACTCCCACAACCACCTGCAGCAAATCCAGGTCAGCGTGTGTGGCTTTAGCAGCATGTCATGTGAATGTGTGTCATGCCCAATGGTCTCTGGAGACATTTGATTACAATTTAAATTATAAGTGAGCAATTTAATAAAATGAAGCAATCTCAAAAGGAAAAGTTTTTGGTCTGCACTAAAGCCATAAGTGGGGACAATAGGTCCTGGAATATCGTCATTCCTGAAGACTTATTTGTTGCAAGAGTTGACAGATTCCCAGCTTTAGTCATACTGTTGCCAGTTTAATGGGAAGGTTTTGCACAACAACCCCACAACACTTAGAAAACATTTGTTAATGAAAAAGATACTAAAGAAAATCTATAATAATAGTAATAATAATAACCTGTAAAGTAAACACAATTTAATAACTTTGTCGTTACTGGCAACAGAATGTGAAAAATGACACCCAGCCCAAGTAATGAGGGGTTAAGCAGATTCTTCTAATCATCCCAAGGCCAATAATGTCTGTGAGGCACTGCTTTAAGGTGTGCATTTAAAGTTTACAAACTCCTCTTTATGTTTGTTGAAGTTTTTATTGTGACTGATGTGTATCGCAGAACATATTTTGGCCAAGACCACCTGGTGGTTCCTATGGAAACGCACCAAGAACCTGGGCTCGACTGAGGGCTGAAATCATGTTAAAATGATGTAGCTGGCTAAAGTCATTTGATTGCACAATGTCTCTATTATTTCAGCACAGCGTGTCATGCTAGCAGTCAACTAAAGGACTTATGAAACTGTTACTCACAGCTGTCTGAATAATCAACATCCAACTGCAACACAAATGCATTCACAAAAATATTGTGGCCTCAACTCATATTTGGAAATTGTTTTTTAAATTACTGCACACTGACACATACTGATCACACTTTTCCTGTTCTTCCTGCTGATGGTTCCTCTGTTGCTGATGTCCACTTTCTTTTCACTCGAAAAATGCAGTTCTTTGGTTTGTCAGGCCATAAAAATGTAGCTTTGTGTACTTTCATCAGTTCTTCTTTAGATCAGAGCGCTGCAGTGCATCTCACATCTGTCTTTTTACAATTTTGGGGGGATAATTTCTAGTAGATGTGATTGACAAGAAGGCATCTGCACATGATACAAAGCAAAAGGGCCTAAAAGTGCACTGCTGATAATAGGTTTGGTTAATTTTTTTTCATGCACTTGTGTTATTTGGGCCTTTACATAAAGCGGTAATGTGCAGTTTCTCCGCTGCAGAAAGTACTGCATTCAAAAAAAAAAAAAAAAAAAAAAGGGGAAACATATGAATTCTACTTTTTTGGCCCTTGTTTAAAAGTGTAATTTATTCCTGCAGGTGTCATCCTCCAATGCCACCACTATCTCACAGCCCATCTTGCAGCTGTCTGGGGACAGTCAGGCCCAGGTAGCCCAGGTGGCTCAGGGTCAGGACCTGACTGCAGGAGCAGGTCAGACTCTACAGAGCGTGCAGCTGGTCAACCCTGGGACCTTTCTCATCCAGGCCCAAACTGTCACTGCTACTGGACAGATCCAGTGGCAGACCTTCCAGGTAAGTTCAAGGGGCTGTTTTGCTCTTTCAGGTGAGCTTGCTTTGCCATAAGATTCCCAAAAACATCTGTTTTCTCTCTTAGGTTCAGGGTGTCCAGTCACTCCAAGGACTTCAGCTGCCCCAGGGTCAGGGCCAGGCCCAACAGTTGACTTTAGCCCCAGTCCAGACCCTTCCCCTGGGCCAGACAGGCCAGGTCAGCCTGCCCAACCTCCAAACAGTCACAGTTAACTCTATAACACAAACTGGGGTCCAGTACTCGCAGGGAGAGGATGCAAACAGTCCAGCAGGTACGTGGCTGTATGCTTGTGCATATATCACTCCTCATTTCATTCATTTAGTTAATCCCTTACAGTTTCTTAAATCTCCCTCTTTCATTCTGTTTTCCTCTGCTCAGGTATCCAGATAAAGGAAGAGCCAGACTCTGAGGAGTGGCAGCTGAGCGGGGATTCCACGTTGAACCCCAGCGACTTGAACAACCTGCGTGTTCAGATGGGAGACGAGGACATGGAGACGCCGAGCGGGGAGGGCAAAAGGCTCCGCAGAGTCGCCTGCACCTGCCCCAACTGCAAAGAGTCTGGAGGAAGGTGGGCCTCTGAGAACACACACACACGCCATGGATAACAGGAGGTGTAGGTGCTGAGCTCACCTTTGACCAGCAGAACAAAAAAGGAAACACTAGTAAATGCAAAGGTTGGAAAATGGAAGCACTTCCCTCTTATCTTCACTCTCCCTCGTTTCCACAGGGGTTCAGGTATGGGGAAGAAGAAGCAGCACATCTGCCACATCGCCGGCTGCGGCAAGGTTTACGGGAAGACATCCCACCTCCGAGCTCACCTGCGCTGGCACAGCGGCGAGAGACCCTTCGTCTGCAACTGGATGTTCTGTGGGAAGAGATTCACCAGGAGCGACGAGCTGCAGAGACACAGGAGGACGCACACAGGTGAGATCACCTGTCGACACGCTTTTTGTTTTGAAATTGGGGAAAAAAAAGAAAAGAATAACAACAAAGTAACAGTTTTATGGTCGGAGCTCATGTGGGGATCGCGTTGCCGTTACAATGTTACAGTTACAAAATGTTTTCATGTCTGCTGCTGCTGCTGTCCAGAGCTTTGGTTTGCGATCACGCAATGTTCAGCAAAGACGTGTGAAACACGAAGGGAAAAAAAAGTGAGAAACCGACACTTCACAGCAGATCATCAGCGATATCAGTTTTATTTTATTTGTAGTTGAAATGAATTGAATCAGCTAATAAACACTTGAAATTACATCATTGTTCATCTGAGCAGTTAAGTAGCAGATAATATCAACTCAGCACGAAGCATTTTTATTAAATCATTTTAACGAGGCTGCCGTTGCTGTGATAAAGCCTGAGATGTAGTCGGGGGCTGTGATGACAAACTTGTGATGTGTGCTTGTCCTTAATTAATACTTTGGGTTAAACGACAACTAGAGTCAGGCTCTGATTTCTTTAGAAATCTGACCCCATTACTGCGATCACATTTCTATCACAATGATGCAATATGTGACCGTCTGTCATTAATAAATCATTAAATCCATCAACAGTCTTCCAGCAGTATTAATGTAGAGGTGTAGCTGCTCAGTCTTGCTATCTTGGTAAAGCCTTTGGGTTCCTTTTTGGCTTTTATTTTGAAAACCCTCTAAGTCGGTGAGGGAGGAAACCAAAGTTTAGGATCTGATCCCAGATTTTGCATTGAGTCTTGGGTCATATGGTCACCTGATCAACCAGGTGATGTCGTGAATCTGAGTAGATGGTGATGAAGGCTCTTGCTCACGTGACTCCAAGAATCCAGTGGTCACGATGAGTGAGATCCACACTTCCTTTGAGGAGATGGAAGTTCAGTGTAGAATCAGATTAGAGATCTATGGTTTCAACATCACATATTTTTTAAGATGTATGGAAGAGAGGAAAGGTCACATGACCTCGACAAGGGCTGCAAATCAAGTCGCGTTGCAATAAAGTTGCTCTGTAGCATCTTAGTGAGGAAAGGCAACTCATTAACGGCATCCCTATTGTCCAGTGTGCAGCGTCATCATCATGCTGTAGGGATGTTTTTCTTTCTTTTATTTGCTCAAAATCAAGATTCATGTCAACATGCTTTATATTGTGAGGTAAAGGCCCTGAAATGTTATGACTCTAAATTAATGTGATGCTGAAAACTATTTAACAGTTACACTAAGAAGAGGGTTTTGGAAAGGAAATGCTTAAAATGGGGTCCTGAGTAGGCTCGAGGGAGCCGTCCCCACTGCTAAGTGAAGGATCTGATGCTAGAAACAAGCGACAAAGTCTCCAAATGCTCCAGTTCAGTTAGTTGCAGACAAAAATGTGCGTCGCCACTGATGTGTGCTTGTTGGACCCTGCAGGGGAGAAGAAGTTTGTGTGCTCAGAGTGCTCCAAGAGGTTCATGCGGAGCGACCACCTGGCCAAGCACATAAAGACTCACCAGAATAAAAAAGGCGGGGTGCCCCCCTCCACGTCTCCGCCCACCTCCGACGCCATCATCAACACGGACGGAACAACGCTCATCCTCCAGGCCACCAACGCGCACGACCTTGTAGCCAATCAGGAGATCCCCTTGCAGCTGGTCACAGTGGCGCCCAGCGAGGTCATGGAATGAGGGGGTGGGTGGGGGTTGATGTGGTGAGGTGGCTTTTTGAGAACTGGCCTATCAAAAGGGACCTCTTGGGCTTTTCTCTTCCCCTCTTCCCCCCCCTTTTTTTTTTCCTTGTTTTGTTTTTTTTTACATATGAATATATACCTAAATGTATATGACAAATATATATATTTTAAGTAAGAGTTATCTTGACTTTATGTTTGTTTTTTGCAGTCTTTTTATAGGCGGGCAAAAAGAAATAACATTAAAATGTGTTTGCTATGTACACACGCTCTCTCTCACACACACACACACACACACACACACACACACACACGAAAACACACGAAAACACACGAAAACACACGAAAACACACATTAACACTCAAAACACGACATGAATACTCAACACGATGAAATGCCTTATTTTGTATTATACTCTTGTATAAAATGCTGGAGGTGCATGTTGGTTTTTTGTTTGTTTTTAAAGAAAAAGCTTTGCAGATGATGTAACTGTAACGAGGGTAAATGTGTTTGTGAAATCGGACCGAGGGAAAAGGAAGCCGTGGAAACTCTCGGGGAGAGTCGTGACAAATCTGAGCGCCCTGTTTGAAGCGGCGCGGCGTCCACACCGCTGCCTTGATTTGTTCTTTTTGTTTTGTTTTTTTAAAAGTAGTTTTTAAATGTTTTTTGGAAATGTGCTGATTCGCTTTTTTCTTGAGAGTGAAAAAAATCCAGCAGTCTGGTACCACCCCCCTCCCTTCACTGTCGTCGTGCTAAAGGTAACCAGCTGCTCACAGGGGCTTCGCGTTTGGCGTTACAGACTTTAGTAAGACGGCAAATCAGGTTATTTTCCAGCCCAGTCAGGGCAGCGGTGCTGATGTCACGCCGCGCGCTGCTCGACGCAGAGCACGGGCGCAGCTGGCTGGTCAGGTTAAGATGACAGTGCCACCATTAACCGGTTTGAAGTTTGCATTTTTGCCTCAAGGACGAGGGGAGGGGAGGGGGAAACAAATGCAAGCAACTTCTTTCAGCATCTGTTTTCATGAGCACGCCGTCCGCTGTGCTTGTCAACATTTAAAGAAACACCACATCCTTTTTTTTCCTTTTTGGGGGGGGTTAATTCTTGTTATGTTTCAGTTCTCCACGTCTCTTTGCTGGTCTGGGTGTCGTCTATGTTGAAGCCACACGATGATGGGAATCATAGGTTTTAAAGCGTTCTGGGTTATTTGTTGGCTGCAGGAGGAGTCTGCACACACCAGTGTTGCCATGTGAAGAAAACGGATGCATCAAATCGGCCTCATTAAAGGCAGTTCTACTTTTTTTTTTTTTTTTTTTCCCCCCCCCTGCTTCTTTTTGTGTCATCACATTCCAGTTGCACGCCACACGCTGTGGGATTCGTTTTGCAATAACCGCTCTGTTGGTAATTCTGGCCAGATGTCACTCAAGTGAAAAAGCAAAACAATCAATGCCATTGTTTGTGTGTTTTTATTTTTTATTTTAATTGATGTAATCCCTTTGTTCGTCCTCATCTTTGTAGCATTCATTTACATGTATATTATCTTATTTTCACATTGTTCATAGAAGCCATTAGTTAACTGAATTTTGTTGTATCAAAACCTTATTTTAAGTGATTTTTTTTTTTTTTTTTTTTTTTAAAGAATTGGTGTAAAAATTGAATGTTACCTTTTTGTAAAACCTTTTTTCAAATGGATCACAATAAAAGTCTGAAACCTTCCAGTAACACGTTTTGTGTGTCGGGGGCAGAAATGGGACGCCCTGCACCAAGAGAGTTATGCTTTAGAGAGTATGCAGATGCTGATGGTTGGTAGAGGTAAGATGACAGTAAACAATGGGGGAAAGGAAGAGACCAGCAGTGATGTGCAACGAGATCACAGTATGAATTGCTGCTCTGGAAAAAGTAGATCTGTAATATTAAACGGCATTGTGGCAGATCCAGATGTTGCCATCAGATCTGTTTTTAAGAAACTCAGCTGTGCATAATGTGAGAACAAGAACCATCACGACATGCTACATGTGTGAGAGGGGTCGTTTCCCAGTCTTATATGCAAAAAAGGTACACTGTTAATATCCATACTGTCTTCATTACACTTCTAGCTGTGACATAATCACAGTGGAAACTTTAGTCTCACAGTAAATGCACCTAAGAGATAAATTTGATAATCCTAGGTGTTTTTCAGAAAGGCTGGTTTCTCATGTGGATTCAGATTGGTGCAAGGAAGTGACATCACTACTTTGTCATCCAGGAACTACCTACACAGTCTAGCCATTGGCCTGCATAATCAGTCTGATGATGCCATCCTGGTAACGCCAGCGCAGCCTGTGGAGGTCTGTGTGACTGAAGGATATGAATCCCCCAGATCACCACTGACCCACTGCCAAACCTGTCATGCTGGATGATGTTGGAAGCAGTGAAACATTTGCCCAGCTTCTCCACACTCTTTCAGGCTCAGAGTGAATCTTCTCTCCACATGGGAGAACGGAGTCCCAGCGTCAGACCGGCCAGTTCTGGTGTTCTGTCAAGCTGCGCAGTGCTGGGGTGAAAAGGTCCCACAAAGGGACGTCAGGCCCTCACACCACCCTCGTGGACTCTGATTCAGACAGCCTGCACATGAATACCTTGCTGGAGGTCATGTTGTAGGGCTCTGGCTACTCTCCCGTTCCTCCTTGCAGCTCCTCCACAGTCTTGAGGCTGTGCTGGGAGACACAGCAAAGCTTCTTTTGACAGCAAGCATGGGCTGCAGGTACTGCCTCATGCTGCCAGATGTGACAAGGACACTAGGCAAAAACCAAAACTAGAGAAAAAGCAGTCACGAGGGCTACAGGGGCAGTCTGGTTGTTGCCTCTGATGTCACTGTGATTTGCACCAGAGCAGGTGATCTGGACTCACAGTGGTTCATGCTTCCTACCAGGACAGAATGATATCCCTGAAGTTTAACGGACTTGCTGTTATCATGTGATCCAATGTTTCCTTTTTCAGCAGTGTACTTATCTGGCTGCTAACTAGCTTTCTCACCAGGATTAGGAGAATCTGCATAGGACGTAAATAGTTAAAGCAGAATATTGTTCAAGTAATCACATGTAAACAAAAATACACTGGACCACCCATTAATCGGAGTTTATTTAACAAAAATATCTGACAGCCGAAACAAGATGAAGATGACAAATCCATCAATGTTACCAAAGAACAGAAATCACTTTTGCTTTAAGCCAAATTTTTAAGGCTCCTCTTCCCTTTAGAGTATAACTTTGATCAGCTTCTGACTTTATGCTGCAACATCTGTACCTGAGAGTCACAGTGACAACAATCCTACTGATTTTGATGTTCATTTTCAGGTCAAACACCTGTGGGTGAGAGTTTACAGTGCTTCTCCTTGTTTTCTTTAAAATCACAGCCTTCACGTGAACTTGTATCTTTATGCAATCCAGAGAAAAACCAAACAGCTTCAAATGAGCGAATGCAAAGTGTTCCCAGCACCAGATGTTTGACATACAGCAAATAAACACCAAAATGAACCAGCAATACCATTCTCTGAAGTCCTCCTCCCTTTGTGCTTCTACAAAAGCCAGAACCAGAATCCCAATCAGTGCAAACAGACTGACCTCAACTACAGGGAGAAAAAAAATGCACGAGTCGCTTCACAAAACACATCCTCACAGTTTGCACCCACACAGTCACCGAAACGTATAAATGAACAAAAAACTGGACATTGTTTCAACCAGTCGGTCAGTCTGTCAGCAGTCCCCGAGGCAGGAGAGGAGCGTCGTTCTGAAGCAGACTCTTTAAACAGAGTCCAGTTCAGCGCCTCATCGTAGCGAGCGCCTCACAGCTCCGTGTGAGCATCTGGCAGAGGACAGAGGAGAGAGACGTTAGTCTGAGTGATTAATGCGGAAAGCTACGCGTATCGGTTTCTGCGAGCGAGGCGCACCTGTGTCCTGCTGCTTCGCCATGTGGTTCGCTCTGTCTTGGATTCTGGCCTGCAGGCGTTTGATCTCCTGGTCGTAGTCGGTCCACTCTGCCACGATCCTCACCGCAGCCTGCAGCTTGGGCTCTTTGGTCATCGGGTTGTTGCACTGATATTGGGAAAATGAGAAAAAAGACAAAACAGCTCATATCATGGGTCACATAATGTGGTTTGGTACAAAAACAGGATGCAGCATCAAAACTGATTTATGTCCACCTATAAAACGACTATTTAAAACCTTCATGGCAAGGCTGAGATGGTTTGGACATGTGCAGAGGAGGGATAGTGAATATTCTGGGCAAAAGATATTAAATATAAAACTGCCAGGCAGGAGGAAAAGAGAAAGCTTCATGAATGTAGAGGAGGACAGGCAGAGAGTTTGTGTGACCGAGGAGGATGCTAGGGACAGGGTGAGATGGAAGCAGATGATCTGCTGTGGTGGAAGAAGAAGGTGGTCTTATTTTTAATGTGAACTCATTCTTAAGCCTGCCTGCCCTCTAGTGGCTGTAAGGATACATGTGAATCTTTAGAAAACTGCCATCAATCCTCTGTAACTCTGACAAACTGTACAGAAAACAGTTAAATAAAAAGAAGCATTCTTTACCAGATCTATTGTTTTGGCGCTCTTCTTGGAGCTGTCATCACACCAGGTCTCACACCACAGCCACTCCTGAGGTAGAGACTTTATGGGCACCTGGTGGATCATGTTGTTTGGAAGATCCTGGAAAAAAATCAAATCATATAAAAAAAAAAAACTAGTGAGAAAAAGTGCAGAGCTTAACTAAAAGCAGAGAAGGGAAAACTATTGTTAGGAAGGTTGAACCATCATGTACAAACAAGCATTAGAAGCAGCATCTGCTTCCCCTGTGTACTTTCACAGTTGGCTGTCTTTATGTTTTCTTTCAGCTGCGTAGTAATCAAGTTGCAATCACAGACTACAGTTTGTCCTGTCGCTGTGCTCAAGGACATCAGAGCCTGAAATGTAAAAGCTGCTGAACAATGCCGCAATCATAAAACCAGCGATGCGCTGTCATGAAATCAGAAGCAGAGCAGAACATGACGAGTAAACACGAGCGGCGACAAGGAACAGACGCACGCTAACGCGAGGCTGCTCTAAAGTCTTCACTGAAAAACTGGAGAAGAGTGTTCAATCAATCTAAAAACATATGGCTGTTTTACATAAAACACGTGGCTCTGATGTCACGTGTACATAAAAACACGAATGCAGACAGTGAGTGAAGAGAGCGTCAGACCTGGTCGAGGTTGGAAAGGCTGTTGGGGTCTTGGCTGAGCCCCTGGTACTGTCCTCTGAGTCGATCTCCTGCAGCTATTTTCCTGAACT